TCCTTAATCAACTTGAAAAGGCCAACAAATTCTCTTTCAAAGCTTCACTTTTTTTGGCCTCATATCTCATCATAATTCAAACCCCTCCTTGGTAACAAGAACCAACTTATTTCCCTCAAACTCCACGAGCTAACCTAAAATTTTCAATTCGTCATGCTAAGACATTCATAAAAAGTAATAGGATAAATACAAAGTTAACTATGGAAGAAAGGAGAAAGAGAAAGAACAAATGAATTCATAAAACAAACTTCATTGAATTTGAGCATCAAATTTCACCTCAACATTATAAGGAAATAGAAGTAGAGAACAGCTTACCGAAACTATTAAATCGATACCGATTTACCCTCTTCTTCCCGGCACTACATGTGTATATGTGTTTCTCTTTGATTTTCTATTTAACTGAAACAGAGCAACCATAGTACAAAACTTAGAAAAATATCCAACAATGGATCAATGAATCATAACAAATGCATTCCACAATCCTTACACACAATTAAAAAGATGCAACAAAAAAAGAGAAGAGAAAGAACCTGAAGAGTCCAAACTCGAAACTAATTATTTGTCATTAGTATTATAAAATATTGAAAATGAAATTGAACCCAATTTGTGTTTATGAGATTTTTGCAAATTTCATACTGATTAAAATTATCGTCAAAGGAAAATGTCAACATATCCGGAAAAAAGAACCTGTGCAACAGAAAATCTTCACCCTAAATCAAACAAATATAAAGCCAAAAAAAGGGAAAAGAGGGTGACAACACTTATCGTCATCGATAAACTTGATTTTTTTCCTGGTTCTGCTTTCCTTTCGAGACATTTTTGACGATGTTCATCTTATCCTCTCACTAATTTTGAGAGAAAGAAGATGAATGTGGCTGTTCAAAGAGAGAAGATGATGGTATGAGTGAGGGTGTGTTTCAACGTGAAAATACCCATATAGTATATATAGCAGAATAGCCCAAAACATAATCGCGTTAGGATTTTTTTTTTTTTATTTAGCCACCAAAGGAATGGCATACTGGTTCAAATTTTGAGATGCAATTTATCGGATATAATCACACGAGATATCTTTTAGTTAGTGAAACTTATCAATCAAATAAATGAAAGAGATAGTTTAAGATAACTTCCTATTCAAAATATTATTTTAAATTAATCTCTTATTTCTTTTATAAGGATAATAACCCTAAAACCCGCCGTCACTAGTGCTTTCGAATTGGATTTGGAATTTCACAATTAAACAAGTGACATAATTAGAATTCAAAAAGTTCCAGCGTTCTATGCGAATTGGCCAATATTCATCTCTGGTCCCAGTGTTCTCGGTGAATTGGCCTGTGTTCATCACATGAAGGGGCATCGAAATTGCAGGAGCTGGCTTCTACTCATAAAAAATTGTGGGCCTTATTCATCACAACTTTCTGGCAACAAAGTGAAGTATTAGAGTGAAATACAGTTCTGTTTTGGGAAGAATAGAATATTATTATAGCGTTGTATATATATATATATATATATATATATCTTTGAATTACACTAGACGAAATTTAGCCGGAGATGAGCCGGCGATGGCGTCGAATCTGTAATCGGCGTGTCCGGAGATCTTTGTGGTCGGAGATATTTTTCCGGTTAACATACATCTCGGTGTTCTTGGGAGAAGATCGGCAGTCATCGTGAAGCTCTTACGCCATGGAATAAGTTCAACGGCGGCGATGTATTTCCGATAAATTTTATATGGCATTTTACTTGACAAAATTTTAATGTGGTATTTACCTGAGACAAAAGATTAAAATGAAATTATTATAAAAGATAAAGTTATAACATTAACCATTTTACATTAAAATTTTACGGTCAAACAAATAGGTATCCTAATGAAGCGACACGTGTCTTGGGAGAAAAAGTGTCTTGGGAGAAAATTTCTTTATATATATATATATATATGTTAGATTAATCAGAATGACAATTATTAGAACATTGTAAACAGAATGGTAAACAAATGATACCACACTGGGGGTTATATATTGAACTGCCGGCCTACATTCAATAATAAAATTACTAAACCTTGATCAAGCTCCATATGAGGATGGGCCTTTTAGTTTTAGGCACTTGATTATACTTCATTGACCAACCGTGTATCTAGAACATGTGGAAATGAAATGTCACATATATTTTGGGTGTACATAAACAAAATGAAAAAGAAAAAATAAGTGGAATATTGGAATGCCTGCGTTCAACTAGAAATGACAGATCTATTTAAAAACAATTAAACAAAAATGGCAGATAAATTGTTAGAAATCATTAGTTCGTAATCTCGTAGGCTAATACGCAATGACTTGCATCACACCCACTTTTAATTAGTGTGTTGGGACAAAGAATCTCACATTGATGTTGTGAACGCGAACGATCTGTTACCTTTTTACAAGTGCCAAAGGCCACATTGTCAATTGGTTTTGAGATGGGAACCTAACGTGACTTTGACATGGTATCAGATCCCACGATTTGTGTACCTGTGATAACTATGGACCTGCGTGTGCGGGCTTGGACCCGTGTGGCTTGGACTTGTGTCAATCGCTTCCGTGCGCACGGGTGAGCTTGTGGACTGATCCGACAGTGTATCCGGAGTATTTACCCGTGTGTACGGGTTTGTTGACTGACCCGGCAGTCGGAATTGTGGACTGATCGAGCAGTATATGTAGTGAATTATGTTGTGTTGTGCAACTCCAATGAGCTAAATACCCCATTGGGCTTAAGGGTGGGTGTTGGGACAAAGAATCCCACATCGGCGTCGTGAACGTGAAGGATCTATCACCTTTTTATAAGTGACAAAGACCACCCCACTCATTGCCAATTGGTTTTGAGATGGGAGCCCAAGGTGATTTTGACATTGTGTATATTACTAGGGATTTGTGAGTTTAAAGCAAAATTGTTGTGGATTAAATTATAAAATTTGTAGGACCTTCAAAACGAGTATTCGTGATTAATAGAGAAATATTATAATATTCATAGCCTGTGAAATCAGGGTACACTGTGAAATCAGTTGGTTGGAACCAGTTGGCTGGCATCAAATAATGGTAAATATACTGTGAAATCAGGGTACACTTGGTTTATAGGGAATGAGGTGAAGGTCAAGGAATCACAGAGCATATGGTCACGAATGAATGTCCCAAAACATTCATTCATAACCTAGCTTGCATGGAAAAAGAGGTTATGGACAAAAGATAGACTCATCTCAATGCATATGGTTGTAAATGATCAGAGTTGTCTGCTGTGTAAGTTGCAACTAGAAACTACTGAGCATTTATTTTTTCAATGCAACTTTGCAGCAGCATTACTGGAGAAAATTGTCAACTCGCTGGGTTGCAGGAAAATAGCAGCAAGTGAAATACGGTGGAGGGTGCAAATTCTGAATATGTGGAAAGGACAGAAGACCAAAAGGAATCTTCTCTGGGCTGTAATGGCAGCCTGTATTTATCATCTGTGGGAGGAGAGAAACCGAAGGCATTTCCAGCAACTGGAGAGGAGTCCAGAACAAATCATGCTCCTGATCAAAGATGAAATGAGATGCCGTTTCTTGCACTGTCACAAGACGAAGAACAGAGCAGCAGCAGAAATCTTTGCTAAATGCTTTTGAACTCAACTGGATCAAGTAGAAAACTGTAATAGGGGCTTAAATATGTGTTAGCATGGTTCTACTGAGAGTCGTTTCTTTTTTGACCTTAGTAGTTTTTCAGGGAGATCCTTTATTCTCCAGCAGTTTTGTAGTTAGCAGAGTTTTGTTCTATTAAGCTGTGTTTGTAAAGAACGGTCATGGTCCCGTTTGGTGTGCCAATCTTTATATATACATTTACCTTTTTACACCAAAAAAAAAATGGGGTATACCGTATACACTATGTAGATAGAAGATATATAAATAGATAGATGGATTTCGTGCTTAAATAATTAAAGAATAAATTCATCTCACAAAAGGACTTGTATGTATTTGTTATTTTTAAACCATTATGGAAATTAGTTTATGCAAAATTTGTGTGATTCTCTGGTACTGGTTTCGGAATTTCAGCTATATTGTTGCCGCAAATAAAGCTGGGGAGTTTGGACGTAATTTTTTTTCGGTACAATAAACAAGACAAAGACTTAAGTGTTAGGGTTTTACATATTGGGCCAGATTGCAATTCCTTGTGTTCTATCTATATAAACACTAAAGTGTTAGGGTTTTACATATTGGGCTGCGCAAGAAGAATAAGACGCACTAATAGAGAGAGTTGGAGAGCGGAAAGATGAAATCAGGTTCGATTCTTGTTCATTTTCTAGACGGCATCATTCTCCAGATACTTTCCAGATTACTGGTGAAGCTTCTGTTATGTTGTAAGTATGTTTGCGAATTTTGGAAAGATCTCATGTGGACCTCCGGACCAGAAGGGAAGGAGCAATTGTGGGTTATTTAGCTTATCGCCGAGGATCTCCCTTTGAACCCAAAACAGACATATCTATATTCAATAGACGATAATCATTCAGCGGTAAGACTACCTAATCCAACTGATGAAATTCCATCTGATTTTTTCAATCTTGTTGTGTTCGGTACTTGTAATGGTTTGATACTTTTTCAATCGGATCGGGTATTGTACATTTGTACTTATGGAACCCGTCGGTTGTTGTCGTGCAATGAAACAACTCAACGATTTGGTACATCAAGGGGAATAAGCCTCTCGAAGAGCCTCTGGACTCTGTTTTGACAAATCTTCTAACAATTACAAAGCAGTATTAGTGACTTCTAGAAGATACTTTGTTGCGATCTTAAGAAAGGGAACATACAAACGGGTAGTTTCCCTAATTATGTCTTAATCAACACCTATTTCAAACATCATTATGACCCAGGAGTTGTAGTGAGCGGACATTTGCTTTGGTTCATGAGAAGGGCAAATGACCTTTTGGAAACGATAATGTATTTTGATGACGAAACGAACCGATTTAAAGAATGGCCAATGCCTGTAATACAAGTTTATAAAGAGGGAATGGGACGCTCACTTTGGTATTCTCATTTGTGTGTTTTGTATGGATGCCTTTGCATGTTTGAAGGTACATTTCAATCGGAACTTGGAAATTTTCAGAATGATGTTTTGATGATGGAAGAATATGGGGTGAAAGATTCTTGGACCAAATTGTTCACTATTAGAGGGACCTTGGTGCCCATCACACCTAGTATCTCCTCTCACAATGTTTTGGTCTTCAGCTGGCACAACGTATTATATACATACGACTTAAAAAAGAAGGGTTTCACTAGAACCAAACGTCCTCCTCCTGACCTACTGAAGATTAAGAGCGTTTTGAGTGGCGAAGGTCACAACAAAAGACCAGTTTCCCTAAAGATGCATATTGGTCCTTTTATGTACACAGAAAGTTTGGCATTCGTTGATTTGATATGAGCGATATACAATGAATATTGGCATCATCGCTAATCAAATTCATCAGCATATGTTTTGTTTCTGTCTTAGTGTGGTGGTTTTTATAGTCTATGGAAGTTACTGGGTACTCCTATTAGCAAAATGAGACATTTTCTTCTTCTTTTTTTTCTATCATTAAATCTTCTGTTCATGTACAATTTAGGTAATCGTTTTGGTATTTTGTACTTTTGATGATTTAATTATCTTTTGTTCATTCCTTTGGGATGCCTCCTCAAATTGAGTTGTTCATCTTTCAAAACCAAGAAAAAAAAAAGTAATATGTAGAAGCTGCTTTATTAATTTCCAAGGCAGGTAGACTTTCTACTAGATTTTTTGCTGTAGAATCCATTGTCAATAGCACTATGTCTTTCCTTAAGTTATTGTGATTAAGAACCTATTGTCTACAGATTATCATTAGATTAATTATCCATTTAGGTTCTCATCACTTGATCAAGAGCCTGTAGTTTTGTATTCAAAAGAAAGAAAAGAAAAAGAAGAGCCTGCATTTCCACAGGAAAAGAAGCATCTCTATGGTATACATTAGCAAGCTGATCATTTTAGAAGCAATTTTGGTGTGTTTCTTTGGTTATCAATAACATAGTTAGGGTTTGAACTTGAACAGTTGTTCAACTCGGACCTCATACAGTACGGCAAATGGGGGAAGAAACAAGGTAACAGAGCAGTGCGAATTCTTATACAAGAAGTAAAGCTTCCACACTGAATTTTTTGGAGAATATTTTTCACTCAAGTGCTTGAAGAATATCACTTCTATTCCGAAATGATTGTTCAGTTTAAATTGTCATTTGTGGTACAAAATTGTATAAAAAGCAAAAATCCAAACAAAATAATCGTTTCGGGACAAATACAGTATCACAGTGCATAAAAAAGGCATATTAATTAGCTCCGTAAAATGTATCCAAGATCATTAAAGTAATTTTCTATTCGGTTCTATACACAGAAAATATACTATGCAGCGGATCAAAATCATGAACCCTAACCATAGATCCATGCAATTACCATCACAGTAACGGTATCGAATACCTTTCACCGAAGATTGCTTGTACACAACTTGAATCACGAGAGAGTAAGAATAGTTCTCCTCTACCAGTATCCACTCGATCGTTGGACTGCTTTTGGGTATCTCACTCGACGGCTTGCTAATAACGGTGAAGTAGATGCGGCTCTTGCTCCCACACGAAAACAAATGACAGGAAGTGATTAGGATTTCTCCAATATTATCTATTTATAATACAACAGTATTGAGAAGCCTAATGGCCATAATTACTATTGTAACCTTGGTCCATTTAATTACGAATTAAATCTTAATTGTAACTAAATCAAACCCAGAACATAAAACCCAAACCAACGACCTATTGAGTGTGACCCAATAGGTTCTCATAATATGGCAGTAACAAAAATTGTTTGGGCTCAGGGCATAAATCAACAATCTCCCAATTGCACTAAGACCAAGCATACATCAAAGTTACAAACAGTGAGTGGTATCTAGCAACACATCACTGCTATCCAAATTACGAGAATTTTATGATTCCACACCACCTTTGTCAATGACATATTTAGTGTATCATTATCCCTTTGTCCTTGATATCTAGATTAAATGCAAGCCATGGAAAATATCACACTTGTTCCCATTCAATCTATAAGCTTATGATAGCATTCATATAGGATGGACAAATCCTATCTTGATCAACCATGTCTCTGACACTGACTCGGAATAAACCCAATATTAGCCCTTATGGTCCATCTTGTTACAGATGACGTTAGACTGTATTAAAGCATACAACTAATCATGTAGAAATCCAATGACTATCTCAAGTCGAAGGACTATAACTATTATCACTATGAGAAACACTTTATGACAATTATAAATTTATGTAGTATTCTCACGGCTGGTCGGTCCAATACACAAGTTCTCTAACTTTGTACTCATGTGTTGACTTGATATCACATATCCATGACAACTTTTCTCATCAGCCACACCACACACTAGTCTCCTTGCATAATTGTTACCCTACCCACAATAACAGTTTAACTAGGGATATTTAAGAATAGGTTAAACATTTTCATTATTTTAAGGAATTCATTATGAGTAATGTGAACACATAGATATTCAAAACACAACCATAATAATAATGTACTTTCAATTGACACTTGATCTCAGCTCTTCATAGGCATAAAATTTTTAGAGCTATGCTTGTGTACACAAATGTATATGAACAATTTTGTACAGGTTGGCTATTACAAACAACAAATATAGATCAACTTATACTATCATCTCTTGTGTGCTTTTACTTTTCAGTGTTTAATTCTTCCAATGTTTAACAATAAGACATTACTAGACTGGCATCTTCTAATTTTATCGAGAAAAGAAGGAAGAAAAAAACATCACAAAATATTGCATGATTGATAAGCATACATTTGATCAATGAGGGAATAATCTCTAAGAAATGTTGAAGGGCTGTTTGCAAGTAGACCAAAAAAACAAGAAGCATTCGGCATAAAACAAAGTATAAAAGTTTTATTAAAAGTTTTTTTTTTCTCAGGAGCGATGTACATCGTACGTAGAAAATGAAGTTACATAACCGTTTTGCTAAAAAAAGTTACCATTAATGATGTTGTAACTACACCATAGTCCGGAACTCTACATGTAGCTTGTAGGTGGCGGACGGGGTCCATCGGCCGATCATGACCTTGTGGGCAGAAGGCTTTGGTCATTAGGGAGTTATCCAAAATCAAAATGCAGTCTTGAAAGAAATGACTGGATCACTTGCTACCAAATCCAGATTCACTAGCTATCTTGAGCCTATGAACAAGGGGCTTCTCTGACCTTAGGGTTTTTTGAAGTTGAGGTACTGCAAGATTGTAAATATCACCATGCTTATAAACTATGAACAAAATTGAAAAACAATTTGTTCAAATGATGAGCATATCTCAGCGACATGTTTCCTGAATTGACACAGCCACACACATATATCAGAAAATAAAATGATGAACAAAGACCATCTCAAAGGTGATTCTTTAGAGGTTGCAAAAGAATATAAGGTTTTGCTGATGATCGCAAGGAAACTTATAGTATCCAAATTAGTAAATGATTACAAGGCCAAGTCATAATATTAGCAACTTTCAACAATCGACATCCAATTCTTTAAGGCTGAAAGTCATTACAAAGAAAGCAAAAAGTATATTCATCTACACTGTTAAGCATGAGAAGAAAAATACGGCCGAACATAAAGTAGAAAAGAATTTATAAAAAAAAATAGAGTAAAAACATTTGCATAGCACTGGTCGCTCAACGCGCGACAAGTAAAAGACTAGTATTTTAGTAATTTTTTACTTGAAAAGTATGCAATATTGGTCTCAAAAATAAGATCTCATATTTTCTGAAAACAATATTATTATTTGATGTATGGTATGCTTTCATATTATCGATGAATAAAAAGATACGATCATTTGAAAGAAATAGTTGAAAAACTAAAAAACAAATTAAAAATAAAAAATCAACACGACAGTGCGCGTAGGATATATTTCACTGGAAACTAACTCTACACAGCTTGGCGCCTCTATACACTTTTTCCTCTTCATTCGCTTTTTTTCCTGTTTCTTTCATATTTTCATTATATCACATTCTTCATACATAAATTTTTTTCTTAAATTTGAAATAACGTGATATTGACTCTCAATAATTATTGATATATAGGTCTATCAAGTTTTCATTAATTTTAAGTTACTAAAAAAAACAATGTACTACTATCGGAAGGATGAAAACCAAAAAGACGGCTGGCAATGTGTAGCGCTAGACAGTGCTACCAAAGCTAAATAGAGATTTCTGTTGATTCTCGTTCTAGTTAATATTTCATTACTGGTAACTATATAAAATTAGTAGAGGATGAGTGTCAATATGTAGATAGCTAGAAAATAAAATACATCAACCAATTAGACAACATTTGTGTATTTGTCTTTTATGTAGTTTAGGATATAAGGAAATTGAATATTTGACTTCCCCCCGGAAAGTTTCTCTACATCCAATACAATAGGACATAAGGAGAAAGGAACATCCTTTTTTTTTTCTCTCAGTCGAACTAGGCCAGAATTTGATTTGTTGTTTTAAGCTAAAACCCATTTGAGCAATCAATGTTCCTTACACAGACCAAATTTCTAGAGGCACTTGCATCAATCAAAATGATAGTATTATGATTAGTTATGGCACTAGCACGATTTATCAAATAGGACTTTATTCAGATCGTACATGTGACTAATGTAGGGTGTATGTATACGCATATATAGTTATAATAGTAATGTCCCTCATTAGCTAGTAGATTAGGAATACGATTAATGATCTTGCTTTTCCTTTCGTCAAATGTATCATTTCAAATGATCATTACTGCTTCATAAGTTGAATTTATGATCAAAGATCTCGATCACCGAAAAAATTAGATTATAGTAGTCTGCTTGAATTTATGACAACTAATTTATATGAATCAACCCTTTCACCGCTTCACCTTGCTCAGTGTTCATACAAATGAACAAATCATAATAACAGAAAAGACAACATGACAAAACGCCAAAACGGAAAAATCAGTTTTAGAGATTTTAGAAAAAAAAAATTCCTTTCAATTTTCCATTTTTCTCAATGAGTGAGTCTATAACACTGTTCCCATATCCTGTGTCCCATCAACTTTCCAGTGAATATATCATTGAGTAAATCATTCTGTTTATGGAAATAACTACCCCCTCTCCAAGAAGTGTGCCCTACCCAATCCCTCTTTTCTCTCGCATCACCTCACACTTATATTGTAGGTTCTCAGTCGTTGCACTACCCTATTCTTCTTCTTTATCATCATCATTTTAATTTCCACATTGATACAATCATGGCTTGAACTTTTCGCAATGAGTTGAGACCTACACCTATACATTTAGAGCATGCATATGGACATTTGTTTAGACCTCCGGAATTGGGATTGATG